TGTGTGTGTGTGTGTGTGTGTGTGAGAGAGAGAGAGAGAGAGAGAGAGAGAGAGAGAGTAGTCCAACCCTGAGGACTGCTAGAGTGTGGCTATTGAAATGAAACATAAAATGTAAAAAGCAATTATGCATAAAAGATATAAAAAATCTTTGTACAGTATGACTAGCTGAAGAGTTTCTGACATAGTGTTCTGTCAGTTCTGACAACAGTTGACATAGTGTTTCTATCTGAAAGTATGCTTAACGTAGTAAGTTGTGAAAATTTTTCCCATTCATTTGAATGTGGAAAAATTTGCTGAAAATAGCTGAATATTTTAAAAAGTATAAACGTTTCAAAAAAGAAATACACAAGCCGGAATGTCCCAGAAGAGCTGAACATTTTAATACCTGAATGGCTTTTCTAGCTGAATATATACTGAACTTATTAAGATGTGAACATTTTTGCATTGGTTCCCACAAAGTAGGTAAAACAAGACAAGTAGGGTTGTGTGTCTGTGTGTGTAGGTGGGTCTGTGTGTGTGTGAGAGAGAGAGAGAGAGAGAGTAAGTCTACCCCCTGAGAACTACTAGTGTGGCTATTGAAGTGAATCACAAAATGTAAATGATAATTATGCGAAAACCATAGGTTCTCTTGCACAGTGGCATGTCAACAGCAGCAAATCCATAATGCTTCAGATACCAAACATATTCCCAATTCAACCAGCTGTCTGCCTCATACTCAGCTATCCCATATCTGAAACCTTCTGTTCCTGTCAGCCAACAGAAGCTGGAGTTTAAACCACAGGGGGTCACATCAAGTCTGGCCTGGAATTTCCACAAGAATCTCAGCAATAAACAACGCCTCAGTGAGGAGCCTCAGAAATCCACAGCAGAATTTGCAATGGATTCAGGATAAGAATCTACTACAAAGCAACATTTTGTCTGGAATTTGCTGAAGAACAGTTCTCAGCTACCTTTTCCTCTCCCTCGCCCTCTCTTTTCTTTTAACTTTCCTTTGCACCCCAACCTGTGTATCTACTCCTCTCCTTGTTTTCTTACATCCATTTCTACTGTTTTCTCATATCCTCCCTCCCTTCCTGTCAAACTCTCCTCTCAGCCTCTCTATTCTCTTCAAACCATCTCCCTTGACCACTTCACACCACTGTTTCAGTGTCTTTTACTCATCATTTTCCCCATCTCCCTTCAATAATAATTTAATTAAAAACAAAACAAAACAATGTTATGTCCAACCAGAAATTCAAGTTCCTCCAGCACATTAGCACAGCTTAACATTTCCTAAGGTTTGGCTCTCCTGACTTCCTCTCCCTTCTTTCACCTAACCCCTCTCCTTCATACTCCACTCTGGCTTCTCTGTAGCTTCAGTCCTTCTTTATTTGCCCACTGCATTCTTCCCACCATTGTACGGAAGCCGGCTCACATATCCATGCCTGGCTATTGAAATACTTTTTCTTGTTGATTGATGAAAAAAGTGACATCCTCAAAATTGGCTTTTTTGTCAGGTTAGCACTATCTTGAGCAGTATTACTGTAAAATGTAGTCAAAATTGAAACAGCAAATATTCAGATTTCTAGCCTCCTGTATGTGACAAGCCAAAAAAACACTTGATCCTACAATTCCCATAATGCAGCACAACAGTGTCTTTCATGACACCCTCTCTACCACCCAAATCCCAAGTTTATTAGCAAGGTTGTTTAATTTCTCCTAACAATTCAGCTTTATGAACTAACTTTTATGGATTTTTTTTAAACTCTTTTTATAAAATAGCCTTCAATTTATTGCATCCTTCCAGAGTTTATAGTTTTGTGTACAAACCCCAATTCCAATCAAGATGGGACATTGTGTAAAATGTAAATGAAAACAGAATACAATGACTTGCAAATCCTTTCTGATCCATATTTAATTAAATACACCACAAAGACAAGATCAAATCAAATCAAATCAAATCAAATTTTATTTGTATAGCACCAAATCACAACAAAAGTCATCTCAGGACACTTTAGAAAGTAAGGTCTAGACCTTACTGTTATCAATATTATTACATAGGGAAAACCCAACAAATCCCCCTTGAGCAAGCACTTGGCAACAGTGGGGAGGAAAAACTCCCTTTAACAGAAGAAACCTCCGACAGACCCTGGCTCTTGGTGGGCGGCCTTCTGCCTCGACCGGTTGGGGTGTGTGGATAGAGGAGAGACAAAAGAAGAAAAGCAACAAGACACAACAAACAATCAAACACTGATCAGGTCGATGTGGCTGGTGACTGCTCGTCAGAGACGTAGAGCTCCAGGGCCAGGGCAACCTGCAGAAAGATATTGTGCTCTGTTCGGGTAAATAATACCCATTTAACCTTCTATCTTTTTATCATCCTGTAAGTAGGATACTGGTGTGTCCTGAGGCACACCAACACTGTTTGGTATGTTTATAGCCACATACCGAGGACTAGTTTATTTATTGCATTTAAAAATAATAATCATGATATGCAATAAATGATTCACAGTGAATTCCAGCAGATCAGCTGTGGATTTATGGGTTAACCTGAAGTTGGTGTGCCCATTAGAATACATGTGTGTACCTGATCTCATACTTCCCAGGCCATGCGATTGTCAGGAATTTTGCAAATACACCTGCGATAGCAATAATAAGTGGCCTAAGTGGGTGTTATCTTTATCACTATTTCAGGTCAAAACCAGCACCAAAATTGCACTCTGCTGCCTAATTAGTATAAACACGGCCTCAACTGTGCCTCTCATCCCACCTCAGAGTAAGCGTATTCATTCATGGCAGGAAATATCAAACACACCAATGAGCAACAAAAGGTAGACCTGTGCCCGAGGAAAACTGCATAATGACTGCGAATGAGGCAAGGCAGAAAGTGCACTGGTAGGAAAATAGAGCCCAACATATAAAATCCAGGTAATACACCTTTAAAACTAATGCAATATGTCATTAATGATTTAAATGTCAAATTGTTACAACGTTTTTCATGCACACTCCTGAAATGTCAGTGAAGATAATCAGTCAGCCAGGTCCCAGAATTTCTGAAGGCATTAATCTAAATGAAGCTGGATTTGTTTTTGCAAACTTTTGTCACTCATTTAATTGTCAAATCATGTTAAAGCTTTTTAGTTTAAATATGTGTGGTTTCTTTAATTACAATACAATACAGAGGCAAGGAGATTACACTTATGGTAAATTTACTATGAACTGGAGAAGTGAATGCAAAATGAACTGAAAGTAAAGTGAAACATAAATTGTGCTGTGACTACTAACCAGGTGTGAAGTGGGAATAAAAATTAGCCCAAAGCTTGTTGTATAAAATTTTACTGGTGTATGTATTAAGACTCACTAGTACACTTGAAGCTGCACTGAATCCACTGTCCTGATCTGCTCCTGCTCTCTGCTATGTGCAGACTGAAGTAAGGATTTTTCTAGATTTGAGCTTCTTTTCTTAGGCCTTTACAGCCACGCATTACACCTTTTTAACCTTGTTATTCATGTAAAGTGAGTCATAATAAGGAAACCAACAGCTGCGGGACTGAAGAGTAGCTTTGCTGTGGAGAGAGATGGGTGAGGGAAATGTTTGCTATACAGAGCCAAGGATGAAACAAAATGTGTCCATTTCAGTCTTGGTGTCTTGCTTTATGTATAAGGCTGGGGGGTCCGTTGACACATCTGCGCCCAGGGTCCCGTTGTGTTATAATCCATCCATGCAAAGAGTCACACTGCTGGGTAGATCATGCCCACACAGATACATCTGTCTGTTTCCCTCTCTTGCTTTCTCTTTTTCTTTGTCTCTGGCTGATGTTTTATTGTTTTCAGTAAGGTAATAATTTTGTACCATTTGGACCATTTTGTTCAGATTCGTGCAGAGCGCGCTCCCGGAACAAACTTCAACAACTGTGCGCGCTCTGGAGCCCCTGGTACTTAACGCTTGGCGTCTCGTCTGTGCTGGAGGAGCAAGGCGAATGTGTAGACCGGGCTAGTCAGTGAAACACGATAAAGACAGGTATTGCCTCTGTAATCTCACCATACAGCCATTCTTAAATCCGCAGCGCATTGAAGGATATTTCATCCGAGGTAAGCGGGTGTGTCGTGGCGAATGAAACATTGAATTTTCCAGTGTAGTATGGGTTGTAGAAAACAACAGCACCGCTGTAGCAAATGTTAGCTTCCTTCATTAGCGCCGTGCTAACGTTGGCCGTTAGCTTGCTATGCTTCTTAAAAACCTGGTTAGCTGTGTCGATATTTTGTGTGTCTTGACGTCTTAAAAGCATTGTTGTCTATGGTGTGCACGTGAGTGGTGTATGGATGGTACGCAAACATGGTTATTAGAACTGTGCATTAATAATGTTATCGGTTTCTTAGCTCGTTCACACACTCGCTAAGCTAACAAGTCATCGATTCAGCTAGCTAGTATGCTAAGGGGTACTTGTACGGCAAGATGAGGCCTGTATTCCTGTAACAGTTAATGCCAGCTAGGCTACGTCGTCGTCTCCTTGTCAGACGATGCCGTTTTGCCTTCAAAACAAGTTAGTTCAGGTCAACAGAAACGGCATTGTTTTGTCTAGCAGCTTTACTGGCATAACCAGCTAAGTTTTTTTTATGTCTGTGGAGGAAGTGATGAGTAACGGCTGTGTGTGTGTGTGTGTGTGTGCTTGACCTGTCTCGGGGGTAAGGGGCTACTAAAAGCTGACATTCAGATGTTATTGTTCTTTTGGTGTCTACGATCTGCTTTAATGCACCTTCATCTCAGTGTACACTGCGATTAAAGGAGTTGAACAGTTGTTACCGTGAACACCTGTAGATGTTTGAACTAAACTGTCAGGAATAAAACTAATAGCTTCTCAATATGATCTTAAAATGAAGGTACCTCAGTCAAGTAAGTGTAAGGGAATATAGTCCACATGTGTTCATTGCTGGTCTGACTAATGGGTTTCTGCTCAGGTTGGGCAGGGACGACGCTGTTGGGAATTAAGTGAAATCTCTAGACTTACTGGAGAGTAACGTTTGGACACATGGAAGTGATCCTAGTATTGTCACCATCAGTGCAAAAGATTAAAATGTAAAAATGCAGCAACAAAAAAGGCACAAACTGATTATGTGATATGTTAGGATTGTGACTTGATCCTGTGGTGATCGGAGGTGATTTGTTTTGTTATGATTTCAGAATGAAAACACTACTCAAGGAAGTGCATGCAAAATGCAGATCTTTTAGTGTGATTGTATGCCGTAATAGGGCATGGTGAGCTTGCTTGCTAAAGTTCTGAATGACCATAAATTACTATGTTGGGTGGCCTGATGTTTTAGGGCAGTAGAGACATGTGGTCTTTGCTGACTAAGCCAGAATACTCAGCAGGTTCAGCAACTGTATATAGTCTCACTTGGTATTTGTGGCAGTGTGTAGGTAATGTGTGTGAGGTGTTTTAATGTGTTCTCAGCTCTCTGGTTGACTGCATCTCATCAGTCGAAGCCTAATTTGTAGTGTATTGTACAAACATATAATATGTACTGTGCTTATAACAAAACAGATTGTCAGAAGCCAGGGCAACTCACAGAGTATTACATTGGAGGTTCCCTGTTTTAGAGGTGGTAGTCTCTGCTGACTATTTTCCTGGGGGAGACCCTGAGTCGGGGGTGGGGGGGATTTGTTCATAACAAAACAAATCACCTCTGATCACCACACTAACAATTTCTGTTTATTACTAAACAGAAATATTAAGACATTTATTTTGGATATTATTAAAGGACACTATATGAAGTCTTTTCAGTACATCAGTGGTGAAGTAGATGTCTTACACATAGTTTAACTGCTTAATTACAAAAATGACAACATACAAATTTCTTTCTCCATGACTAGATTAAATTAGATTAGATTAAACTTTCATTACACATGTACAAGTGCAAGGCAACAACATACAGTTTAGTATATAACCAGAAGTGCAATAACAGCAGTGCAGAGTGTGCAGTAGTTTACTGATAGATATGTACAATTGATATTTACAGTAAAATATGTAAGGTAATGTACAATATACAACAGATTTTATGGATTTAAATTACGAGTAATGGATAAAGTACATTAACCTTGCAAAACACTAGTGCAATGGGATGAAATGGAATGAAATAGTGCAGAATAAGAAGATAAGTTACATCAGTTAAATAGATGTAAATAGTAGTACAGTATCTGCATATGTACTGTACGGTGTGCAAATGAATAACAGAGCAGTATTCTGTGAGTATGTGCAAATTAACAGATCACTTCAGCATTACAGGTAACAGAAGTGTATTGCATAAGTCCCGGGGGGTGAGGTGTGTGTAGTGGTATAGAGGAAGGCAGCGGAGGTCAATGGGGGCAAGAGTTCAGTAAGGGGACAGGTGTGGGGAAGAAGCTGTTCCTGACTCTTCTGATCTTGGTCCGGAGGTTCCTGAAGCACCTCCCAGAGGACAAGAGGTCTACCAGTTTGTGAGCAGGGTGAGAGGAGTCCTTGAGAATGCTGCGAGCATGTCAGAGACAGCGTTCCCTGTGGACACCCTCAGTGGTTGGAAGTGGAGTCCCTGTGATGCGTTGGGCAGTTTTCACCACGTGCTGCAACGCCTTGTGGTCAGAGACAGAGCAGTTTCCATACCAGACTGTGATACAGCTGGTCAGGATACGTTCAATGGCACAGCGATAGAGGTTCACCAGGATGGCTGAAGACAGGTGGCTCTTCTTCAGTGTCCTCAGGAAGAAGAGGCGCTGGTGAGCCTTCTTAACCAGGCTGCAGGTGTTGGTGGTCAAGGACAGATGCTCTGAAATTTGGGTTCCCAGGAATTTGAAGCTGGTGACTTGTTCAACAACCATCCTGTTAATATAGATGGGATTGTGTGTGCCTCCTTTCTCCCTCTTGTAGTCCAGAATGAGCTGTTCTTAAAGACAAATTGTCAGTCAAAAAAATAATTATTATTGGAAGCAATCCTGGACTTAATTTCAAACCCTGGTTCTATGAATGTAGGTATTTACTCTTATTTTTAGTAATACTACAATGAATTGGACCAGAGAACATTATGACTACTAGCCTTTGAAGTCATTTAAGTTTGGTATAGCAAATCCTAAACGGTGTGTCTGTAGTGGAATAATATGGCAATCATTAGTCTGCTCAATAGAAGCGCCTGCTGTGCATATTAATAAATATCAGGGTATTTCCTGCATGGGAAATCAGGAGGTGGCCATCTCATCATATTTCATACCACCTCCAGCTTTCAACAGTGTTCTGGTGGGTGTCTTCATGGAAAACACTGTTTTCTAAAAAGCATTACACATGGTGGATTTCTGTTATTTGTAACTGTAATTGCAGAATTACACTGATGTGGTGGCTCTGTATTGCAACGTTGGCTCCACTTCCAGCTTGCTTTTCTGTAATATTGGGTTAGCAGTTAGCAGTTTTCTAGTGTTGCTAACACTGGCAACAGTGACTCAAGAAACTTAGCAGTATATATAGTCTTCCTGTCTTTTTTAAAATCAAAGACTTCCAAAATGCAGACACAGCTCCTCTCTTGGACACAATATTATCTGGAGCATCTTCATTCTCACTTTATTCATCCTCGGTCTCTCTTTTCTGTTCCACAATCTACTGTAGCAATGGGGCCTCTCCTATTTGCTGTTATGCTACCTGGCTAGCTAGCAAGGTGTACCTAGCATGCTTTTCAGCTATGTAATTTTTTAAAATGTACTAATGGCTAATGATTCAAAGTGCTTCTGGTGCCGAGCAAGATTATATAATGTGCTGCTTATTGAAATGTTACAGCTGTTGTTGTTGTTACAGCTCTGCTACGGTATGGTGGTATATGGAAAAATTCATACCTTTTTTGAAATTAAGACTTGTATACTGGATGAACCATTATACCACCCAGATATAGGCCACATTCACACTGCAGGCTGAAGTAGCTCAAATCTGATCTTTTTGCCCAAATGTGACCCATATCCGATTTCCTTATGACAGTGTGAACAGCACAAATCCAATTTTTTTCAAATCCGGCCCAGGCCACTTTCATATGTGGTCCTAAATCGGATATATATCCGATGTTTTGCAATGCGACTTCAGTCTGAACGGCCAAGTCGCATTTCATGCGATTTTTATGTCATTGAAATGCGACAGACGTCACAATTCTGCGCAGGAGGAGGCGAGGCCATAGGCAATATTTGTGCTGTCCTTCTTCTTGATATTCTTCCTCTTATTATTTCTTTATTTTGATTGCACATTAACTGGTACATCGCTACGCACATGCTATCACGAGCCGCATCCATTTTTATATTCGCAAACACAGTACGCTGTGTCTGACGTCATGTCCTCTTCTGCGCATGCGGGTCACCTCAGGGCCGTATACCGTTCACACATGAGACAGATGGCAGTCGCATTTAAATGACTGTGTGAACAACAGCGCAAAAAATCGGATTTCGGCAAAAAATCCGATCTGAGCATTAAGACCAGCAGTGTGAACGTAGTCTTGGTTACATCCCATCAGTGTAATATTTTCAGCATTGCAGATAAGGCTTGTAGAATCAGTGGTTACTTTTAAAAAGTTAGTGTGCAAGGAAAATCATGAGAGCATGTGAAACATAGAGCAGACATGCGTATGATAGGTAGTTAAAATGGCAAACTGCAATTTATGGTACTGATGAGATGTGGTGAAGATGTTGGGTCTGAGAGTAGTGTATAACCACAATGAGTGGAAGGGACCAGTGGTGGAGAGAATCAGAGTTGGAGTGCAGGAGAGGAGTCAAGGCAAGGGTGACATTCAGTTGCCAAGTCATTTGGTGTGTATTAATGTAAAACTGACATTTACACAGTTTTAATATCCCTTTTTATGTTCCAACATTTTCTCAAAGACACTTAGCAAGTAGTTGTGACCTGCAGTGGCTGGACAAACTTACGTGGCTCGGATATAATGAGGAGGGAATGACATAATACTTGCCAAAAACCATATTGCCCTCATGCTGCAGGCTGCTGCTGGCTTTGTGAGACAGTTGTGCACAAATTACACACTGATACTTAAAAAAAATCATGACATGACAGCTAGCCATAAAGTGGAAAAATAAAAGG